CATCAATTCCACGAGATCTTAACTCGAGAGGAGAACAAAACAGCAATTCCTCTTCAAAATTATCTGCACCTTTGTAGCGAACATATACCATTAGCTGTGAATTGTTACTAAAATCAGTTGTCTCATCAAGCTGAATAGCAAAATATTTAGCCTGTTTTAATGAGAAAATAACTTGTTCCTTCACATTTTCTGCTAATATAGAAATTATTTATTTCACAATTCTCGCAGACAAGGGCACTGAATTCAGTTTGTTCGCTTCTTTTTGACCACACATAATCTCTGTCATTTTTACAGCAGCTGGTTTAACCAAATCTTCACTGGGGCTCGGGGCTGTGCTTTACTGCGCAAAGATATAACTCGAGAACACTCTACTGGTGGGGAGTGCAGTGGCGCACCTAGGGGGGTTTTGGGGTTTAAATTCCTCCCAGGGCATATAAAAAATTTACAAAGGATAGTAGGAACATGTAATTTATCTTTCACAAATAATACAAAAAAATTTCGGTGCATGCAAAACAGGTTTATAAAAAATCAAATTAAAATATATACTTTTTACTCACAAGTTTCATTTTTACCCCACAAAATTTCATTTTTACCCCATTTGGGGTAATTTACCCCAGTTCCCCGACCGCTGAAATAAAGGAAGGCAGAGACTCCCTATTGACTGCGATACACGAACTAATAGTGAACAAATGGAATAATAAACAACTGCCACAAGACTGTAATACCGAAGTAATTATCCCACTATATAAAAAGGGAGATCAGCTTCAATGTAAAAACTACCAGGCAATAACGCTACTAACTGTGGCATATAAAATACTTTTAAATATTGTGTATGACCGATTAAGACCATATGCGGAACAATAGTTGGGATATATCAATGTGTTTTCTGCAAGCAGACGTCCACAATAGATCAGATCTTTGTCTTGAGGCAAATCTTGGAAAAGACTAGTGAATTTAATATAGACACACATCACCTGTCATTGATTTTGAAAGTGTCTATGATAGTATCCATCGAGAATTTCTGATCCATGCAATAAAAGAGTTTAATATTCCAAATCAACTCATTGATATAGTAAAAGAAACACTTTTACTACAAAGTATAAAGCAAAATTCAAATTCAAAACGCACTAACAGGTACAATCCATGTGAGAATGGGTCTACGATAGAAAGATGCCCTATCCTGTATTCTATTCAACATTACATTAGAGAAAATAATTAGAGAGTCAAAACTCAACACAAGAGGAACAATAATAGAGGAAAGTGCCCAAATGTGGACCATCCTCCTAAAGCGGACCCCTAGCTTTCTTGGTACGTTTTAATTTAAATCATGGCGGCAATGAGTGCAAATGGTATATTAGAGTTCCATGACTCAGTGGTGAAGTGCACAAGCCGGCTACGTCACTTATTGCTTGCCAGTCGTCTTGCACGTGTGTTGGTTGTGTGGAAAGTTTTTACGTTGTGTTATATTTTTTATTATTTCTTCGAGATATTAGCAGGTAAGCTACTCAATCTATATATTATTTTAAATAATAGGGTTTGAGGTCATTGTTTCTCACTAATATAGTTCATATAATGGTGTGGTTAAAAAATTATGACATTATTAAAATGTATGCTATAGTCGCTTAAACCGGACCCCCCGTAGTTGCCTAAATCGGACCCCTTATTTTTTAAATTTAAAACTTCGCTGTTATGCAACTTCGCACTTCTATGATTTTCAATTTTGTTACAGATTAAAAATCAATTAAATGGGGAAGATCGAACAGAGAAAGTGGAGTCCGTCTAAAATGACTAAGGCCATTGATGCAGTTCGAAATAAGAAGATGGGGTGGAAGAAGGCGAGTAAATATTTTAATGTGCCGAAGACAACGCTGATGAGATTAAGCAAAGATAAGTATGGTACGCCTATCGAAGCAGCACTAACAAAAAGAGGCAGACCTACAATATTAGGCAAAAATCTGGAAGACGAGCTAGTCCAATATTGTTGTGCAATGGAAGCATCGTTTTTTGGACTCACTAGAAGTGATTTAAGAAGAATGGCTGCGCAAATGGCTCAGAGAAATGGCATTAATCATCCATTCAAAGAAGAAATAGCTGGTAAAAAGTGGGCCAATCTATTTCTTAAACGGCACAAAACAAAACTGTCAGAAAGAAAGCCCACTGGAACATCTTACAGCAGGGCTCTTGGGTTCAATAAAGAAAATGCGCAGAAATTTTATCAACTCCTGGAGGATTTATACGTTAAAAATGAATTTACTCCTGATAGAATCTACAATGTAGACGAGAGCGGAATTAGTGTGGTGCAGTCTAAAATACCCAAAGTTATAGGCCTTAAAGGTAAAAGGCAGATTGCTGCCCTGACATCAGGAGAACGTGGAGCCCTTATAACGATTGTTGCTTGTATGAATGCCACTGGCTCATTCGTACCTCCTTTAGTGATTTTTCCGAGAAAAAATATGAGTGAACAATTGAAAAAAGGAGCCCCATCAGGAACAATTTTTGCAGTGCATCCTTCAGGTTGGATTCAAATCAACTCCTTCACTCAATGGTTTAAGCACTTTATCGACTTTGTCCATCCTACAAAGGAGAAACCTGTGCTTTTACTCTTAGATGGCCATTATAGTCACACTCAAAATATTGAAGTGATTGATTTGGCAAGAACACACCATGTTACCATTGTGTCTATACCACCTCATTCCTCACACAAACTTCAACCTTTGGACAAAAGCTTCATGGGTTGTCTCAAAACTTACTACAGTGAGGAAATAAGGCAGTGGTTAAGAAACAATGAAAGGCCACTTACAGCTTATGATGTAATGGAGCTCTTTGGCAAAGCATACATTAAATGTCAAACAGCTGAAATTGCAATCAATGGGTTTAAAGCCACAGGAATATACCCACTCAACAAGGAGCTCTTTTCTGATGCCGAATATATTGAAGAAGCAAACAAAATGCGAGATTCATCTTTCTACGAATCCATGTCAAAGCAAAAAACGGCAGGTAATGAAAGCTCTACAGCGATTAGTGAAAAATGTGTTATGACGATGAATGAATCACAAGTTAATGCAGAGTTTTATCCGAATCAACCGTCAACATCTTCGGCAGGTCAAGGTAATCCTGTGTTACCATCTACATCTGACAATCCTCATAGTCCAAAATCGTCTATGATAAGCCCGTTTGAAATTACTCCTATTCCAAAAATCAAAAAAAAGGACCACTAATAGGGGACGGAAAGCCTGCAGTTCAACAATTATCACAGCTTCTCCTTATAAATTCAAGTTAATGGAATCTAAAAAAGCTAAAAACGCCGTGAAAACTGAACAGCAAGAACGTGATCAAAGTTTCAAAGGCAACCGCGGCATAAAAGGTTGTTCGACAGCAGGCCCTTCTAGAAAAGGGAAGGAGATAGTAAAAAGATGTCTAAATTTTAAGAAACAAGAATCAGACACAGAAGATGAAATCAGTGTCTCTTCTGGAACATCTGAATTTGACATTATTCCGGGAATGTCACCAACTAAAGAGGATGACGCTTTGTGCATGTTTTGTGACAGAAAATATTCGGAAGATTGTAAAGGCGAACTTTGGGTCTTGTGCATTATGTGTTCGTTGTGGGCTCATGTGGATTGTGCTGGGGCTGATAAGGATGCCTACATATGCGATTTTTGCAGATAAATTAATAATTTTGCTAAATATTTTTGTATATTTAATGTTTTTATATTCGAAATTGTTGCAATATACGTCTATTTAGAAAGTAGATCATGTTTTCTTTTATTTAATACTTTTTTTCAATTATTGGTACAACTTTGTTAATAATTTTTAAGGGGGTCCACTCTTAGCAACTATTTTCCGAATTCACCAAAGGCTAGATTTTGGAAAATACATATTTTTTATATTAATTTTTAATTATTATTAATGAAAGTTTAGTATAAATGAATTATAATATTATGAAGTAAATGGTATGTACTTTTATAATATTTTTTTTGCTATTTTTCATACGCATGAATTGAAAAACAAAATGGGGGTCCAGTTTTAGGCATTTTCCTCTAACAAAAAGTATACAATTATTGGCATTTGCAGATGATGTTAATATCATAGCTAGAAGCGAAAGAGAGATAATAGAAGATTTTAATTCGATAGAAAGAGCGGTAAAAAACAATGGCCTAAACATTAACGAAATAAAAACCAAATACTCGAAGGCCAGCAAATCGACAGGCCAAAGAAACCTACAGAATCTGACAATAGGAGACTATAACATCGAAAGCGTGAAAACTTTTACATATCTAGGTTCACTAGTTACCGCAGCTAACAATGTCAGTGAAGAAGTTAAGAGAAGAATACATATCGCTAGTAAAACATATAATGGACTAATTAAACATCTAAGATCAACATCACAAGAAAAACCAAATGCAAAATATACAAAATTTATCCGTACGGATGAATTAGTACGGAAGACTTTCTGTCTCCGGCTTCCGTACGCAATGTAGCTTCGCCTATTTCAAAAATTTTAATGTGTTTGTTCTTGTGTAGTGTAGTGTGATGTACCATTTTATGTCTATAACATTTTATTCTTGTCGGATAGGCCACAATTGACGAAATGTCCCTGAAGGTGCTCTAGGGAGCGAGAGTACTTGGGCAAGATTAAATTAATTAAACTGTACTCGATATTTGCCTTTTATTTGATCAAAGTTCATTCATTTGAGCATTCAACCTTATAGCAATATCAGTATTAAGCAAAATAACAAAAACTGACGACCTTAACAGCTTTAACGATATTTTGAAGTGCTTTACAAAAAAACCATGGGCATCATGATAAAAAAGAAATCTACAAATTAATAATAAAATTAAAGAAAAAAAAATCTTAGGTCTGCAAAGAATGATTTCTAAGGCATTATATATATATATATATATATATATATATATATATATATATATATATATATATATATGTATATATATATATATATATATATATATATATATGTGTGTATAAAAAAATTCATTACCTAAACACGCTCTAGGTCCTGCTCCAAAAGGCAAAAAGTTTATACCCTCCACATTTGATTTATTTAAAAATCTATCCGGATTATATCTTGTGGGATCAGGATAATATTTTTCGTCCTGATGAATAGCATAGAAAGGTATATAAACAATAGTGCCTTTCTCGATAACAACATCAGAACCTGGAATTCTATAATCCTCAACAGCTTTTCTGTCGATTATTTGTAGGGAAACATATTTACGCAAGGTTTCTAAAAAATAAAAACAAATATAGTGTAAAAATACCAACAATTATTAATAAAAAATGTATTTTATATATTTCAATAAAAATCACACGGTATAGTTAAATGGGAAATAAAAAAAATAATACCAACATTATGGGAGAGGTAAATGAGATATTGAAGTTTTGTTAAAGATTTAATAATTTTTCGGCTTCTGATAAAATCTACGTTTCTAAAAGCTATATACAAATAGGAAATGAAAAATACTAATAATTATAATATGTTTAAGAGAGTATGCTTAAGAATAACAATTACAAGCTATACTGGGATCGCACTTTGCTCACAGTAACGCATAATAGAACAGATCTCGTGCTAGTTAATAAACTAACAAGACAAACAACACTAATCGATGTCGCGATACCTAACAACAATAACATTAGTTAACAAATAAAAAAAATTTGCGACTAATGTTAAAATGGCTCTACTGGGGAATCTAAAGCATTCTGATTGCGAATTCAAACTCCAAAATTTCTCACTACGTATTTTAAGTTATAGAATGCATCAAATAATGTTATTTATTATAAAAATTCTTATATACTATTTATAAATAAGTCCAGAACTAAAAACAAAAACTATGTAAGCCTTTTGTACACAAATTCTTTGCAAACGCTGATTTCCTTTTATACTGTGTATCACTTTCTCTTATGAGGAACCAACAGTAATCTCCCATCATTGCTGCATCCCATCTTCCCTGGGAGCGTTGTTTCATTGTGAGAATATTCTGGTGGAACCTTTCTCATTGCTCGTCGCTGACCGTATCCAAATTTTTTGGGAAAAAAATTAAATGCGAGTGCAGAAAGTATATTTAAAAAAATACGCAACAACCCATTTTGCAGTAATTTTTAAGTAGTTTTTCTACAACGTTCTGGTAATTTTCTGCTTTTTTGTTTTCCAAAAACTCTAAAACAATTATTTCGAAAGAAATCCATGTAGCTAACTCAACATCACTTAATTTTTCTGTGTAGCATCTACAACGTAGATGTAGATGATTAGTAGATGATTTATAGTTATCTGCGCAGCATATAAATCGCATTATCTGTTTGAATCTTTCCCGTCTCATGATGTAATATCAACCCTTAAATATCAAAATTAGGGTAGATCGGGGCTAGTTGTGACAGGGGCATGTTGTGACAAATAGTTTTATAGACTAACCATAGGTAGCAGCGTCGCCTGGTTACCCAGAATTTAACGTCCGCATGTCCTCAGTCTGTTTGTGTAGTTTGGTTGTGATGCTATGCGTTTCTGCCGCTTTATAAAATTATATGTCATTTCGTTGTAACGAAGTAAAATTTTGCTGTTGTCTTTGAATTGTTATTTCACTTTCAAACCACAAGGTAAAAAACTTATTCTAGTTGTAGTAGATAGTTTGTTTATTTCTCTCTAGTAAGACACAGTTTGGTTTCTATACGACGTGTCAAGGTCTGTGCAAGTGGCTTTATGTAAAATGGCGTACGGTGGGGCTAGTTGTGACGAAAGGCTTGGGGCAGATTGTGACAGTGTCACAACATGCCCCTACTAATTTTAATGCATGTTTATGGGTTTGTTACAGATAATGGTGAGAAATTATAAAAGGAAAACGGAACGTGGTCGGAGTAATATAAACAGTTACGAGTCGGCTTCGTTAGATGTTAAGTCTGGATCGTGTAGTTTAAGGCAAGCAGCTGAAAAATATGGCGTTAACCGGATGTCCTTACTTAGATATATAAAAAAACAACAAACCAATCCAGATGGAGTGGTAGAAATGGGTTACAAAAGACCTCGAATGATATTTTCACAACAACAAGAAGAAGAGCTCTGTGAATATGCTGTTCAGGCAGCGAAAATATTTTATGGTATTAGCCCAAAAGAAATGAAAAGTTTAGCTTTTGAATTTGCTATAGCGAACAAAGTTCTTGTGCCTGAGAATTGGGTAGCAACAAAACACGCCAGTAATGATTGGTTTACAAAGTTCATGCAACGTAACAATAATGTGTCTATTCGTGTTCCTGAGGCTACCAGCTTAAGTCGGAGTACAAGTTTCAACAAGCACAATGTCGGACTCTTTTTTGATAACCTCGAATTAGTATTAAGTCAAAACCATTTTACAGCTAATGATATTTGGAATATAGACGAGACAGGGACTGGGACTGTCCAAAAACCGGTAAAAATCATAGCGAAGAAAGGCGAGAAAAGAGTTGGTGGTGTCACTTCAGCTGAGAGGGGGACCAATGTTACTATGGTTCTTGCTATTAACGCAGAGGGTAACTCAGTTCCTCCTATGTTCGTTTTTCCACGTAAGTTTTACAAGGAGCATTTTGTACGTGATGGGCCAGTAGGTTGTTGTGGTACTGCTAACCCAAGTGGCTGGATAACAGGCCCGGACTTTTTGTTTTTTATGAAGCATTTTGTAAAAAAAGTAAGGTGCTCAAAGAAATCACCGGTTTTAGTTCTGTTAGACAACCACAGTGCTCACCTATATATCGAAGTCCTTGACTATTGTACAGAGCACGGTATTACTCTCTTATCGTTCCCTCCCCATACAACAAATAGACTTCAACCACTGGATGTTTCCGTTTTTGGTCCATTTAAGAAGTTTTTAAACGACGCCATGTGTGGATGGATGAAATCTCATCCTGGAAACACAGTCTCAATTTATGACATCCCAAGTATAGTGAAAACAGCATTACCTAAAGCTGTAACACCAACAAATGTTCAGGCAGGATTTCGTTCTACAGGAATATGGGAATTCAATAGAAACATTTTTAATGAAGAAGACTTTCTGTGTTCTTCGGTGACCGACCGACCTTTGAATAGGCCTATTGACATCGTAGATGGTAATGAGGAAGCCAGTGCTGGGCAGCTTAAAGAGTTTCAGCATCTCGATGAACCTGAACCGTCGTCATATTATGCTAACCAGCCAGGACCCTCCCATACCTATCAACCAGGACCATATCAACAAGCATCATCGCAGGCCAACCTACCAGGATCATTCCATGCCGAAGTTCTGCCTGTCAGCCCTATGGATATAAGACCTCTGCCAAAAGCTGGTCCTCGAAAAAATAAAAAACGCAAGAGCTTAACATCTGCAATTTTGACTAGCACACCTGTCAAGGAGACAATTCGCAGTGAAGAGTTAAAGAGAAAGGAAACAATAAAGTGCAAAGAGGATAAAATAAAGAAAAAATTATTTGACTCAAAACAACTGTTGCCTAAGAAAAAAGCAGCGCCAAAGAAAGAGACCGCAACAAGAAAAAGAGAAGACAGCTCAGAAGAAGAGGAAGAAGATTACTTTTGCTTAGTTTGTATGGGACCATATAAAAAGTCTAGGTTAGGAGAAGACTGGGTGCAATGTATGGAATGCAAGAGGTGGGCTCATGTAAAGTGCACAAAAGATGATCTTTATTATGTTTGTATAAACTGCCACTCTTCAGAACTACAAGTAGAATCAGCACAAATTGGCGATAGCGATTAAGTTTTTTATTTTACTTTAAATTCACTAGATATTTTTCTACACATTTGTTTCCCTCATAAACATTTATCAAACATTTATGTATCTATACTTAACTATAAAATAAATTTATTATGGAAACTTTGTTATTATTCTCCAACTAAAGTTTATTATATTTAAAAATATTTACTGTCACAACCTGCCCCAAGTTCGTCACAACTTACCCCATATTGGGGCAAATTGTGACAATATGTGCATTTTATAAAACTATTTACATACTGTAAGGTATTGCTTAAAAATTGCTGATGTTCCCAAATAATGATTCCCAATTAAAAATAGTACCTCATTAAAGTAATCTAACAGCCCTAAAAATTACGAAAAAAATGTTAAAAATTATTTTGTCCAAAGTGGCACAACTAGCCCCAGTCTACCCTACAGATAAAATAATATTATAATTCATACTCGTGTAACATTTTGTTTATGTAAACATTTGGTAATTTAAATCGAGGACATTCATATATAACATACTTTAATTAAAACAGCCAGTCAGCACTCTAGTAAAATTGCACGACTTACTTGTGGTGTAGGTCAGGGAACACACTTGACACGAATAGTAACAAGAGCGCTGAGCCAGCAAGGCCGAGGCTATTAAAAGCAACACCAATCATTCTCGGGGATCTTAATTAATATACCGACACTATGGCCAGTAAGGCAGCATCTGTCGTCAGCGTCAACTAAGTACTAATATATTTAAGATTAAGTAACATTAAAGAGTGTACAAGTAGTGATTAATAAATGGGCAACTAGTTACAACAATATTATTTACTACCCAAGATAATATTTACCATAATGACATTATAAACTACTTTATTTCACATGTCAGGCTGGCTGTCACAAAAATGTAGCTTGCTAGGTTTGCAGTGCTAGGTTTTCTCTCATAATTAGAAATTCAATGAAAAATCGAATTGCTTCCGCCATAATTTGAAGATCTGGACATTTTTTAAAAATGGCATATCTTCTTTTTTTTGTTACTAATATCTGGATAATATTATCATCTAACATTTTTCGAACAGAACAACGGGATCTTCGATATCTTTTTTATTACATTGCACAGGAAAAGGTTCTCGCTCTAGTTGATTTTAATGTTAACCTTAATTTTCTTTTGGATATCGCCCCTCTCTTCCTGATTTTCAAAATTCTCATACTTTATAGTTTCTACGTCTGTATTTTGTTCGGATACATCATCTGAAAGAGCTTCGTCATCATAACCATCTCTATATTTTTTAAATCTAATTTCCACTTTGGACAGAAGTTGACGGACAGTTAGATTGTCTTAAGTGCCTCCCTCATCCTTATTTTCAGAATCCTTATTCGTTAAGTTACTGGCATCCGGAGGATAAAAATTAGTTTATTTTGGATATCGCCCCTCTCTTACTGATTTGTAAAATTCTCATATTTTATAGTTTCTACGTCTGTATTTTGTTCGGATACATCATCTGAAAGAGCTTCGTCATCATCACCATTTCTATATTTTTTAAATCTCATTTCCACTTTGGACAGAAGTTGACGGCCAGTTAGATTGTCTCAAGTGCCTCTCTCATCCTTATTTCCAGAATCCTCATCCGTTAATCCACTGCCATTCAGAGGATCAATGAAGATTTCATCTGAATCATCTATATAATGCTAATTCTATTGCTTTTTGTAGAGGTAAACCCCGTTTAGAAATAAATAAAGAGTACTAATACTTATTTCAAGGTTGAAAAGGATACGTACTCCAGAGAGTCTAGTGTTGTTACATATATTATGTAACTCTACAGTCCAAACTGTTCAACAGTGTTCTTGTAAAAATATCATGCATTTTACTCTAAAAATAATTTTTTTGTAATACTTAGGTACTTGAAACGAATGTTATGCTTCATGATAGTTGCTAAATTATATCTGATTCAAACTGCAGTTACTTACTAACTAAAACAACTATCAGCGTGGTTGTGCACATAATGCTTTTTGTTTATTTTAAAAATGCTGTACACCGCCATCTATGTGATTATAGTCAAACTAAAACTTCATGTACAGTTTTCTAAGTACCTCTGCAAGCGTTATATAAAAGTAACACTAGGTCATAATGGGTTTAACCAAAGAAATTATTTAGATAATTTTTAAATTAGTATACACTGATAGGTTTAACGCGTGCAATGGAGTGTTAACTAGTTTAATTTAATACTGTATTGTTTTTTATCTCTATGAAACTCCTCATTGTTGAGTAACAACAAATATCCATCTTTCATATTTGCTTGCATAAAATTAATTCTTTAGATAAACTTACCTAGTACACAAAGATGTAGATACTCCATGTCATTTATAGCCTCGTAAGTTAAACCACCATATTTATCTGCAATTTTTTTAATTTCCTTACGTGCTTTATCTTGAATTTCGGGATGAATAGCCAATTCATATAAGCAAAAAGATTGTGCAGAACTCATTGTTTCCGTTCCAGCTATAAAAAATTGCAGAGTATTGGACATAACTTCTGTCATTCCTAAAAGCAAAAAATACAGAAAAGGATCATGCGAGTGAATAAAAAAGAAAAATGTAATGGTATGTCCGCAAAACAGAAATCCAAAACAGGTATATCGATAGAATGGCAATCGTATATACGTATTTCTGACTATTGGTCGTCTCGTCTTCAGTATGGTGCAGCCTAGTTAGAAAAGGAGCATGTTAACTTGGGAAAGGATCACTACAGGAGCAATGCGACCAATTTGTGATATTAGAGTTAGAAGACCCTGATGGTTTCCAGGGCAACAACTAATAATAAATACGGAGAAAGCTACAGCTACCTGGAGAAAGAAATGACAAACGTTGAAACATTTAAAACAAATGGAAAAGAATAACAGTACGGTACAGCTTAGAAGAAAAAGGAGAATGTTAACTCGGGAAAGGATCACTACAGAAGCAATGTGACTAATTTGTGATATTAGTTGTTTCCCTAGAAACCATCAGGGTCTTCTAAACCTAACCGCCATCGTTTTCTGTCCAACCATTCGTTTATTTGATGTCCCTATTTCTAATTATGTGCCGTACATTTTCTTTCCAGGCAACTGTAGACCTTTTCCTTTTTATTCTTTGTTCTGGTATGTAACTTAAAGCTTCCTTTGGCCATCTATCTTCATTGATTCGCTTCACGTGACCATACCGTACTAGTTGTCTCGTTTCAATTCTGTCCTCCTTATAATATCTTCATTCCTAAATGATCTTTTTTGAAAACAGCACGCGCTCTCCTTAGAAAATCCATTTTTACTACTTTTATTCTTTTTCTATCGATTTTTGTGATCTGCCAAACTTCTGGCCCATAAATCATAATAGGGTCTACCAAGGTTCAATAGATTGACAATTTCGTTTCTTGTCTAATATTTTTAGACCATAGTAGAGAGTTTAAAATGTTTATCGCTTTTTTTCCTGCTGCGTTCTGTTTTCGATTTTTGGTAGTGCCTTCTTAAGATATTATAGATCCGAGATATTTATAATCATTGCATGTTTTTGTGTTTTTAATTTCTAACTCTTCTTCTGGTTTCTTTTTCGTCTTTATCATCTCCTATGTTAAGATACTCTATCTTTGACATATTCATATTGAGGCCCCATTTTTCATATTCTTTCTTTAGTTTTTTAAATTATGAAGAAGATATGGACCTGTAGTCCTTATTATTCGCTACGACTACCTGATCATCTGCGAAAAATAAAGTTGTTTGACATTTACCACTGCCTATGTCTATTCCCATTCTAGATACTTGTTTTTTTTATTGCTTTAGCAAGTCGGAGATAGACAATATCCTTGTTTAAGCCCCTTTGTTATTGGAAATGATTTCGATGTAAAGTTTCCTTATTTAGCGACACTTCATGCATTTTTGTATATATTTTCAATAGCATCCAAATACTTTCTACTGAGACCTTCTCTTTATCGTATACCTTTTCTAAATCTACAAACAATAGGTGGGTAGATAGATTACTTGTCTTCCGTTTTTAGATTACTTGCTGAAGAACGAATATACCATCATTGCACGATTTTCCTGTACTAAATCCATTTTTTTCTTCTATGTCTTCATATTTTTAGGATATTCTAGCAAAAAAAATACAAAAAAAGGCATCAGTTTTAAAAAAATCAAAAAATACTAGCAAGAACCAGCACAAGCCACAAAAACAATTCTCAAAACCTAAACAACCTGGGCACGAAGAGCCCAAACCCTTGAGTACCAAATCTCCATACTAGACGCAGCCTGAGCGAAGGCTTGAGGCCCAAGCAAGCAATTATAGTTTTATAGAACCAAGTCATAAGAGAAATAGAATTTGAATCGGTTAGTGAACCATGTTGGAGTTTTTTTAGCCAGAACTCCCACACAAATATCATTTGGCTGTTGGTTGTGCCCCTATCGCGCATCAGAGTATTATAGGGGGGAAAGGGACAGTCTAAACCATTGGAGCGCCGTGGACTAATTCCTCTTTATATACTAATTAACCAATTAATACACCTTATTCCAATGAATTTGTGCACCCTAACGTAAATGTAGAAAAAAGATGTGTAACGGCTTCGAAACTGTTTTTTAAAAAAATCTGAAAGAAGAAAATGACGACGTACTTTTCGCTTTACATATATTTAGAAGAAAAAAACGGAGGTATATAAATTTAATATTTAAATCGAGGCGCAAAGAAAGATTATTTGTTATTTTCTATGACGATAACATCCTTGCAGAATTATACTTAAGAATAAAATAGTGGTGGTTTGTTATTTACATACTCGGTTAAAAATTTGTTTTTCTTGTCATTAAATGTTGTTTTAAAGGTTATTAATTGTATTAGAAACCATGTATAAATCAGGGATATAACATAAATGTCCCACCAATGAGTCCACCATTATCATTGGAGACCTTAACGCAAGATCGCCAACTGGTTCGACAGAACCACAAACCGTTACGGGAGACTATTGTGTGGCTATCTCAAAGACAGATACACACCATAGTGGTAACACCCACAAAACCTGCATATTTTTATGGTTAAAACAGACTCCCTATATTTCTAGACATAACAATTCTACAAAACGTGGGTTAACAACACAAAATACACTCAATAAACGAGCGTGATTCAAATCATAACCCATTTGTGTTAACTCTGGGAGCAATAAAATCAAACTGTTTGGATACCTACAAGAAAAAACGGACAAGTTTGCCAAACTACAAAAGGATAAACACAAAACAATAACTAGAGGAATGTGTTCTTAACCTAAAAAACGATACAACATGCTATTGAGGCTATCAGCACAGAAGAAAAAAGTCACCAACAGTTAAGGGAAGATTTAGAGAAATTAGCAACAACCTGAAAGAACTAATCAAGCAAAAAACGAGGAAGAGAAGAAATACCAAACCAAAACTACAAAAGAATTGCTAATAAGCTAAATAGGGAAGTAAAAAACAATTTCATTCTTACATGAAGAAAATGGAATTGTGTACACAAAAGAAGACAAAGCTAAAGTTATGTAAAACGATTGTTGAATTTACAGCCAACAATCGTTTATTTTTGGGACACAAGAGGAAGCAGGTTTCTTCGTCATTTAAAATACTTAAAGGGTCTTGAAAAATACCAATGTAACCTTTAAGATGCAAGTATGCTTGAACACCGGTGATCCATTTTTTTACATATTTTTCAGACCCAATTGAACTAGTTGCCTTTACTGCTTTTGGAGTTCTCTTACTTAAATCTGGATGTGGCTTTAAAAAGGATCTGTACCAACCTCTTCCGGGTCGATTGTAAGTAAAAAGACTCGCACGTGGATTTACATCAAGAAAACCTTCAACCGAGTCTTGTATATTTCCACTCTTACTGGAAAACCTTTCTCTTGGCATGTTATGATCCAATGCTTTAAAGATTCTCTTCCTCCAAACAAAGAATAGAATTGGGACCAGGGGTAGTTTTTTTATTAAATTTTTCACTTGCTCTAAACTGCAACGTTGCTCTTGGCACATTGAATTGTTCAGCGGCTTTTCGTTGGCTCATGCCATTTTCTATGCCTGAAAAGCAGACTGAAGATCTTGTTCTATATATTGTTTGTGATACGTTTTATCTTACGTTATACAAATGTTCCAAATTTGATTCAATATGCCTACATTAGCACTTATTTTAAAACAACTAAAAGAATTGTAATTTTATAAATACAAATCCGGACAAAAAATATATTCTTATTACACATTACAGTTATTGGCCACCCTGTAGTTTAGTGATTGACAGTCGGCCAACCACTGGTTATTGCCTTTAAAAATAAGAAAAAATGTTTGAAACATTTTTTCTTGGATCAAACTAGGCTAAAAAAAGTTTAAACTATAATAAATATTTTAATTTGAAATAGGTACAGTCATTGGCCAGAAGGCCAATCATTAAAACACGGACATATTTAAGATACAGTGCTAGGCCACTCAAATTTACTTTCAAAAAAGAATAATTTAACTAATAAAATTACTGATAATGTAAGACGTACCCCACTAAATCGCAGCAGCGGCTCGTGGCCTAAAGAAGTGGTGAAGATGAGGAAAGCTTGCCGCAGCCAAAAGGAGTTTTGGTACCTACGTCGCGCCCAAATCTCATTAAAAATACGTTAAAAAATGTATAGTTATATAAAAACTAAACTAATAAATACTATACTATATAAAAAATGTCTATATAATAGACTAAATTTCAAAATATTGTCGCTGCGAATACTAAATAGGTACCCATGCAACTAGTGGGCAGTGGGTGAAGACGAATAATATATTTTTTAACGTAACTGCAGTATACTCGTTTTCATAGTTCTTGGCGTGTGCCTGAAATAAGGTACTACGGAATTTTTAATATTCGTCTCTCTCTGATACACAGATGCGTAATTCAATTGTGCGAGTCAAGTTCGTCATGGTCAAGTGCGATGAGAAGGGAATGAAGAGACCACTCACAATAGCAATAACACCGATGCGTTTGGCCGATACGGTGTCGGTGAAGTTCGGCCTCTTTACGAATACAGATAGCTGACAGTGACGTGTTTTTTTTAACATGTTACCCTGATCTGTGCAGGTTTGAAGTAGCTGATGAAATAGTTTTATAAGTAAACAGTTTTTAATTAATTAATAGTTTGAGCTCTTACTGTGTGGAATTCCATTACATAAAATAATACTCTCGACACCTTAAAAAATCCAGTTTATTATATATTAACTCTCTCTCTCTTCCGATACTCATTGCAATAATGACTTGTGGCATTGTTCCTGAATGAGCTGGCTAATAGGTTTATAATTGTAGCAATTACCATTGATATTTTATGTTGTTTTAGTCGATTTTAATTAGTCATTGTTGGAATTTGTTCTGAACAGTTTTACTTATTATTTTTGTTGTGAATAACTAATTGTTCTATTTAATAAAAAAAAATGCCGGGAAACACGATGATAGGAGAAATGCGACAATGTGTAGTCCATTTATTGGAGCATTTTAAAAAAGAAAAAGAAAACAACGGACCTTTACTTTTGTTATCATCGGTACATAAACGAGTAGCGGACGCTTTGAAAATCAGTCTTTGCACAGTGACAAGAATAAGCTTAGAAATGTACTGTATGGCATAAAAGCAAAAAGAGAGCACGTTACAATTAAAGTTCTAAATACACAATTAAGAAACAAGCATCTTTATGACGGTTCTGATACAAGTTTGTGGCGGCTTATGAAAAATTGTGGATTTTCATACAAACTAGAAAATAGTAGACGAGTGCTATGTGAGAAACCATGTATTGTCTCCAAATTGTATCTGTATTTGAAGCCCACTTCAGTTCGTTTTTTTAGATGAAACATGGATATTCCTAAAAGGAGCATATAAACGTACTTGGCAAGATAACTGTGTGAAAAGCATCAAAAAAGGACACGAAAATACAGATAAACGCTTTGTTGTTTTACATGCCGGAAGTAGGCAAGGATTTGTTAAAGATACTGGATTACTGTTTTCTACAAAATCGAAGAGTGCAAACTATCATGATTCTATGGATAAAGAGTCTTTTAAAAAGTGGTTCTCCGAAAAGCTGATACCAATGTTGGATGAACCATCTCTAATTATTATGGATAATGCCTCATACCTTCATGCCTCATGCCTTCATTAAATAGAAAAGTTACCGAATGCCAGTTGGAAAAAATCGGACTTACAAGAATAGTTACGAGTGAAAAAATAATTTTTGACGACGATTCGGGCAAGACAGAGCTATTGAGTCTTTGTTGCCAGAATAAACCACAAAATACCAGGTACGTTATAGATGAGCTACTCCAAGAACATGGGCATCAGGTTTTAAGATTGCCTCCATATCACTGTCAATATAATCCGATTAAGTTGGTCTGAAGCATTTCTAAACAATACTATGATCCTTATATTGGAGAACATGGACGTGCAGATGAAACAGTGAAAAAGTTTGGGGCGATGCATAAGCTGAGGCAACACCTGCAGTGTGGTCGAGTTGTGTTACCCATACTGAAAAATTAATTCAGGACGACTGGGCAAAAATGGTCACATATGATGAAAATGAAAGTAGGATTATCATCGATTTGGCGGAAGATTCCAATGATAAAGACAGTTTCAGTGAAGACGCTGACTGATTAGCTAATTAATCAAGACCAGTACGTTCTTACAGTTCAGAATTCGCTACAGTGCTTAAAACTTAAAAAACCTGTATCATTTGTTAAATAAAGTGGATTAAATAATTAACACTTTTTTGGGTATATTTCAAAATCCTTTTAAAATGTACTTTTCGTTATATCCTGTCTTATTGTACTGCAAGCTAGAAAAATACTTCTTCGCAATTTATACGTATATTCCGTTATTAGAAATTTAATGAAAAATAATTTCTAATTTTCTTTTAAAACTATTATTTCGTTTAACATGCTACATTTTGCTCCGCCACTGAAGGAGGTAAACGAATTGAGCTTAGAAAAGGAAAGACAGATGAAACAACTTATTGCAACTGTTTTTACACGAACATGCCAAGAACGATGAAAACGATTATAGCTATTTTTCTCAATATCACTAGCGACAGGCTGACGTCACGTTGCTATGGCAACCGTGAACGCTGGTGCAGATGAATTTCGCATTTCAAAAATGATACAAACAACACACCCCGTAACAACTAGATAATATTAACTGAGAGAATGAGTATCTCTATGATCTTATAGACTAAATATACAGCAATGTTGCCAAATTTAAATGCAAATAAATTTATTTCGTTATAATTTCTGAACATCTTAATATTTCGTATTTTTGTGAAAGTGGCCAATCCCTAGTGACCGGCCAACAACTGTACCCGTTATCCTACTACAACAATTTACCACATTTATGAAAAACTTACAGGTTTTAGGCTTCACCGTCTCGCTACATCCTTTAAGTTATTTACCATAATAGCGTTAATACTTAATATTAAACTCAACCTAACCTAACTTAACCTAACCTCTGAAGTGTATTAATAAGCACTTCAAATTGAGGATTACCTGTATATAGTTTTAAATTAAAATCTAGCTATGTTTACTTGTTAAAGAAACGATTGCTTACCTATTTTGTCGCTGTTGTTAGGAGAGTTTTGTATTTCCAAAATAATATCAATATAATCAAAAGATTTTCCGTTGTTTGCTTTAACCTTTTTTCTTTCATTAACTACGTCCATGAATGCATCCAGCATAAAATCTTGATCATTCCGTTTCATAAAGTCAAGTTTGAATAACTCCACCCATTCTGGTTTAAATACGTATAATCCTTGAACTATTGCATTTCTTGCAGAAAACTCAAATACTCTTTTTGCAATATTTTGGACCTCTGATCTGCCCTTCTCGAAACACCGTCCACCCATACCAAAGTAACATCTCGAAACCACTTCTGTTGAGTATCTCCTACTAAGATCTTTAACTTCGATAACCCTATCTTGTTTTCTTATAAATGTATACATGTCATCATTTATAGGCCTAGCTGTATTAAACATTCCTTTAATTTTGTTACTGCTGAAGATTGAAGTAATCTTGGTTCTGGTTTTCCTCCAGTCAGAGTAACGCTGGAACAGCATGAAATTTGCCATAATGGGATTATGTTTTGGAGAGGCCAAGCTTCTATCTCTAAAATAGCTAAAATCTTTTATTAACACATGTTCTACTAATTTTGGAGATCTAACAATTAGAACTGGAGTGTCAAATACAAAAGCTCCTACATAATCACCTTCTCCTTTATCATAAATTGCTTTTAATCCATGTGCTATTGTACTTTTAAATGTAAATGTGTCAAAAAAGTTTCCAAAAAAAGGTAAGGGTTTTATATAAAATATTCCTCGTTTTTTCCAGTAATTAAAATTTCTTGTAAAATATTTATATAGTGCATATAGAGCTGTAATTAACAATAGGATACTTATGTTCCAGGTCGACGTCAGCAACATCTAAAAAATAAAGGAATAATTAAATATTTTTATTGATACCAATTCTGTTAATAAAAGACATAACATAATGACATTTGTAGACAATACAAATTAGTTCGTAATAAAATAAAGTTAGGACATGGTATTTCCTCGAACTAAGAAGAAATGCTAAAAATAAAGAAATTTAATTTTAGAATGTGTACATGTAATGTTAGAAGTCTATTTTCGGATGGGAAACTTGACAACGCAATTCAAGAAATGAATAGAATGAAAATAAACTTAGTGGGAATCAGCGAAATGAGATCGCCAGAGTCAGGGTCATGTAAAAAGGACAAAAGTGTATTATATTATTCCGGTAACAGCACAGAAGACCTGCATCACAAAAATGGTGTAATTATATTAATAACATCAGAACTGAGTAAATATGTGACCAATTTAGTATGTCTCGGATAGAATAATATTATCCATATACCGAAAAATATCGGAATAAATGACAAGGATATTTATGTAATTAAAAATTTACTGCTATTGTAAAAATTGGAGATAACTACACCGATGAAATCTCCATACGACTAGGAGTCAGACAAGATTGCATTTTATTGCCAACATTGTTTAATATTTATTCGGACCAGTTATTTAACCCTAGAAAGGTGGACTATCGTAAATTTGACGACGCTCCTCGGTTTTCGTCGCAGTTCGGGTGCACTCGCGTAACCTCTGCCCATACACTTCTCAGTAGCTGTTTCTTTAGTCTTGATTTAACAGGCGGTGAGTGTGTTTCTCCACTACTGTATTTATGTATTAGATTTTTTGAGGGCACGTCGTCACTTTTACAAAAGTCCACCTTCTACGTTAGTTTTTTTCTGTTAAGTTTATTTGGACGCCGGTGACGTTTTTGGTAAGTCAATATCTAATTCTTTTTTATATTTGTAGTAAATATTATTTTATTTAATTGTAGCACTATGTCATCACGAAAACCATTAACGGCAAGTGAAATAAACGATGAAATACAGCGTATAATGAATGGTGAAGATAGTGAGCAGGAACCTTTTGAACATAGTGGAAGTGACTGGGAGTTAGAAAAAGATGCTTTGGAGTTTGAATCGGACGATTCAGATGAAGAAGATGACTCTAAAAATAGTAGTAATTCCAAAATTTTCCAGTCATCCAGTTCATCTGTAAATTTAATGGATGCAGATATAAAAGCAATAGTGGTGGAAAGCGAAAAATCTACAGAAGAAGTACCTGGAACATCAGGTGAGAACTCCACTGTTTCTCAGTTTATTGTAAATCCGGGAAAGGCTCTAAAAGGTAAAAACGGGCATAAATGGTCAAACAAAATACCTTCATTGTCAAAAAGAACGGCAGCTAGAAATATTATTCATTTTATAGCTGGTCCCAAAGGAAATGCCAAAAACTACACAAACGTTGAAGAATATTTGTTACATTTTTTTTTCAAAGGATATATTATGTCGTACTCTGTTACACTCAAATACTGAAATTACAAGACAATCTAAAAAATATGCCAGTCTTCCTAATATTTCTGACATGAGAAAAAATGAGCTACAAGCTTTATTGGCAATTTGGATAATGCCTGCAGCAAATAAAGACAGTTATCTATCTATGAAATATATGTTTGACAGTAATATATCAGGAAAATTTTATCAGGCTTGCATGAGTGGTCAGCGTTTCAAATATCTCATAAACTGTCTTAGGTTTGATGAAAAGGAAACACGAAAAGAAAGGCAGCAAGATGATCCTTTTGCGCATATACGCGAAATATGGGACATTTTTATTACCATTTGCAGATAATGATATACACCTTCATCCTATCTGACTATTGATGAACAGTTAGTAGGATTTCGAGGACGTTGCCCTTTTCGAATGTATTTACCTGATAAACCTAATTCGTATGGTCTCAAAATTGTAATGATGTGTGACAGCTCTTCGAAATATATGATCGATGCTATTCCTTATTTAGGCAAGAAAACCAATACAAATGGTTTGCCGTTGGGTACATATTCTGTAAAGAAACTTACAAAATCAGTTCATGGTAGTAACAGTAATATTACCATGGACAACTGGTTTACATCAGTTAGCTTAGCAGAAGAGTTATTAAAAGATCAGTACAAACTGACAATTATCGGAACTCTTCGCAAAAATAAAAGAGAAATTCCACAGGAATTGTTCAATGTAAAGAACAGAGTACCCCAATACATTTATGTTTTGTTTTGATAAAAGAAAGACATTGGTATCATATATGCCAAAGAAAAATAAGGTAGTTTTACTTCTTTCAACACTTCACGAAGGTGTTGATGTTTCCAAAATAAATGGCAAACCCACTATAATAACTGATTATAATGGAACAAAAGGCGGAGTGTATACATTTGATCAAATGTGTTCGAATATGAATGCGGGTCGTAAAACGAAGAGATTGCCTTTGTGTATCTTCTATAATATGATAAATATTGCAAGTACTAACTCGTATGTTATTTACACCACAAATACATTAAAAGCAAACAGAAAAGTTTTATCCAGATACGAATATATGGTTGAATTGGCTCGTCATCTCGCCGAACCCTGGCTGAGAGAACGGTTGTGTATTCCAACTTTACGTCGAAATTTTAAGCAAAATATTAAAGATGTCCTCAAAATTTCTGAAGAAGTTGAACGTCCGTTACCTGAAAAAAAGAAACGCAAGGTATGTTTCCATTGTCCGAGTAAAAAGAGGCGCATGACTACCACATATTGCAACCAATGCCATCACGCTATATGTGGCGAACACCGAGGTAATATATGTACAATGTGTGCAAACGAGTAGTGTACATCGACTTTATTTATATGTGTACCGCTTACTAAGGGCCGGTTTCACCAACGACAAATAGCAGTCTATTCAATGAATAAAGTTATTCGACCAATAAAACTGACATATCTGCGTTTCACTAACGTCAAATAAGACTTATTCTATGAATAAACTTCAAATAAGTTATTAGTCCAATATCGGCCAAATAAATATTTATTCTTCGAATAAGTTGACAGCTAACCTCACTTTTAATATCAATAATAAAGAAAATTCATTAGTTTAACTTAAAATTATCAACAATGTATTGCAGGTTAACGTAATTATATCACACAATTTAATTTTGTATACATATATATTTATTTTCGAATATTATCTTCATCATCATCATCATCCTCTGATGACGGAAGTGAGCAGCGAAGGAGAAGACCACGCTGCTGGCAGCTGCAAAAAAGAAAACCTTTTGCTGAATTTGATGATGTGGACTTTAAAACTAGGTTTAGATTATTAAAAAAATTCAGTAGATCATTTATTCAATTTGATCGGTAACAAATTGCATCCTGTAAGCAACAAAAATAGACCCATAGATGTGCGAAATCAATTGTTAATTGCTCTGCGTTTTTATGCAACAGGATCGTTTCCATATCGTTTCAAATACATAATGACCATTGGCATTGACAATTATTATTATTTTGACAAATTAATCAACCAATATCAAATATTATAGATTATGTATATTATTATGATTACAGCGATTACAGTGAAAAATAGTGCGATGTGCCTGGCCAAACACCTAAGAGATGTAGGCCAAGAGAGGTGTCAACGAGTACAGTCTGTGAAAAATCATTACACTTTGAACTTATTCGACGAATAACTAACTGTGGATTACAAATAGTTATTGAAACGGAATAAAATTTATTCTACTAATAAATTTTATTCGAAGATTAACTATTCAGTGATTTATTTGTTGTTGGTGAAACCGGCCCTAAGACTTACATTTTTTCTAATTTTTTGTAATAAAAGTGTTTATAATTACATTTGTATTTTTTTTCAATTTTTTGTTAGATGTCGTAAAAATTACGATATTCCACCATAACTGTCAGTAAATAATAGTTCACCTTTCTAGGGTTAAAAAGGCACTTGAGAGACAATCATATGTAATAAAAATCAACGGGGAACTACTTAATGTGATTAGATATGCAGACGATACAGTAATTCTGTCAGATAATATTGAAGGTCTCCAAATTCTGCTTGACATAAAATAAACTCAACTAAAATCAAGTGTCTAGTCATGACTCACATCTGATGCAAAGCTTCAATTAAACGGAGTCCAAGTTGAAAAACTTTACAAAATGAGATATTTTGGAACTACGATAACGGACCAACTAGATACAGACATAGAAATAAAACGTAGAATAGCAATGACTAAAACTACTTTTATGAAAATTAAGTGATTTGTTTGCAATAATCATAGTTTAGAACTAAGACAAAGAATGGTAAAGTGTTATATTTGGTCCGTACTTTTGTATAGTGCAGAAGTGTGGAAGCTAAAGGTACCGATTATGAACAAAATTGAAGCATTGGAAATGTGGGTTCATAGACGAATGCTCAAAATACCTTGGAAAGCAAGGAAAACTAATAAAAAAGTACTAAGGAGCGTCAACAAAGCTAGAGAACTGCTAAAGACAATTAAATATCGAAAAATATCTTATCTGGGACATATAGTAAGGGGAAGGCGATGTAAAATATTACAACTGATCCTTAAAGGCAAAATGGAAGGCCGTGGAAGTGTAGGAAAAAAACATGTTTCTTGGTTGAAGAACATTTGTGAATGCACTCGGACATCAAATGCGGGACAATTATTCCATATTGCAGAAGATCGAGAAGCCTTCGCAATGGTGATCGCCAACGTCGGATAAATCTGATATGGCACGCGAAAAAGAATAAGAAATAAGTGGGATTATTAAATAGGTAAAGTTTCTAGGGATATAATTAAATCTTCTACCTAAGAATGATCGTCATAACAGCGCAAGAGGTAGAGCGTCACAGCAGGCAATTTTGTTTTTAATTATGATAATTTTTACTTCCTCTTTTTCCTCTTTGTGATTTATATTTTACTATTTTGACCACTCTGATTTCCTCAATTCTGCTTATAATAGTTATCTATTTTTGTTTGTTTAGTGTTCTTTTGTAACGTCTTCACTCCTCTTTCAATCTTTTT